GGTTATTTATACTTTCAGGCTAATCAACCGAGTCTGTTTTGATATTTGAAATATCGGCACACTAATATTTGTGCGTTTCAATAATACATCAATATCTCATTGTGTGTTTATAAATATTGATAAAATAGTGTGCGTTTCTAGTTTTCCTCTTTTATATTTGTCCAGTTCAGTGGCCAGTAATTACTAAATATAGTACAGTGACGTATGCGGAGACTTGCCAAAGTTTTTGAGTCCCGGGCAACAGGAAAGATAACTCCAAAAAGGAACTTTGATACCAAAGATTTTGAAAATGTTTTTTCTACACCAGTGCATTTAATTTTAATTCAATTTTTTGATGTAATCTTATTCCTTAATGTATCTTCTCTACAAAAGGAGTCCTTATTGATTTTTCTCAAGATTATTTCAGAGAAAATGAGATTTACGTACTTTTTATATATAAAATAAATTTCTGTAAAAAATATGTTGATCGATAAAATTAAGTTTTTATGGTAATTCTGTGAGCTTAAAAACATACGAAAGGATGAGACAAAATTTGTTGTGCTGGGTATGAACACGCCTTGGGAAAAATTCTTGAAACTTGAAATAATTATTTTAAAAAATCAGTATAAATTACATTTTCATCCCTGGACAGATTTTAAAGGTTGATATGCTTGTTAAAAGTAATGCTCAATAATATGAGAACATAAGCTGTTGGTGTGTGGAGGACCCTTAAATCTGGGATCAAGTCACCTATTTCCTTTTTTATGTCCTCCTTCGAAGGGAGGACATATTGCTTTGCTGCTGTCTGTTGGTTTGCAAGTCAACCTTCAGTTTCTCTTCATTTTCTTCACAGAGGTTGTGTATATTGAAAAGAAATTTCATAATAAATTTAACATGAGAATATATCTAGGTCAAGTTCTAATTTGGGTATGATTGGGCCATTTTGGACACATTTATGCCTCTTGGATGTAGAAAAATTCTAATTTGCTGTTTTCCTTCATTTTCTTTGCAGAGATTGCATTTTTTGAAATGAAACAAATTAAACAATCTCATATTTTCACACAAAATGACCAGCATTCCTGTCTAAATATTTAGTTGTTGTAATTATGTTAAATACACTGTATATGTTTTCATTTGGAAGAAAAGCCGGCCCCCTATCTTTCTATTAAAAATGAATTGCTATTAATCTAAAACATTATCTTGTGATTTTGTCAGACTGGAAAATTCATCTTTTTAACAAAAAACTATTTTAAATTCTAAAATATTTTAACATGGGATGAACATTCTTAACACCCCTTAGGACAAGTTTTATTTTGGGTATGATAGGGCCATTTTGGACAGAGTTATGCCCCTTGAACTTAGAAAAATTCCACTAATTTGCAGTTTTGATTCATTTTCTTTGCAGAGTTTGCACATATTGAAATGAAATTTTGTATACAGATTAAACATAAGAATATATAGGTCCAGTTTTGTTTTGGGTACAATGAGGCCATTTTGGACAGAGTTATGCCCCTTGGACTAAGAAAAATTCCACTAATATGCAGTTTTTGTTAATTTTCTTTGCAGAGGTTGCATGCATATGTATTAAAATGAAATTTTGTATACAGATTTATCATAAGAATATCTAGGTCAAGTTCTGTTTTGACTACAATCTGGCTATTTTGGACAGAGTTATGCCCCTTGTACTTAGAAAAATTCCAATTATTTGGGGAAGGGGCGGGGTATAAGTGTTTTACAAATATCTCTTGCTGTATTCTAATACACACTATATGTTATTGATAATGTAACCCTTTTGATTCTGCAAGCTGTTTTTAAATATATCAATTTCGACCGATACATAAAAAGAGAGTCAGTTGATGAGAGTATGCAGAATATTATATATGTATATCTGATCATGATCAGTTTTGGAAGTTTCTGTTAAGGATATACGCCGACTATTTTATATTTTATTTATTTAACAAGAGTTTAAATTTTAAACTAAATTTATTTTTGTAGCTAAACCTTTGCCCACAGAATATGTCAACGCCTCATCCCTGGATTCCTGTGGGTGTGCCAATGTGTTGTGGGGCACGATTCCAGGAGGGGTCAAGACCTCTTCTCAGGTCACCCTGATGTCACAATGGAACAGTGTACCTCTGGTATAAATTATACACGTTTTTCTTCTTTTTAAGACTATTAAATAGCATAGTCGAGCAATCCACTGAGTACATGCAATATTGTATAAATTTTAGCAAGACGCAAATTTAGCAATTTGTCCTTTTAGATCAGTATTTTATTTTTAGGGAGAAGTAATTAGGGCCCTGCAAGGATTTGCGGGTGCCCTATAGTAATCACTCTGTCCGTCCGTCTGTCTGTCTGTCTGTCCGTCTGTCACACTTCCGTCCACAAATTTTCTGTTTTTTTTTCTAATAACTTTTTTTATGGTTGCCCAATCAAGTTCAAATTTGGTATGGTAGTTCAGTAGGCAGAAATACATATTTTGATGATGCTAAGTTTGATTCTCTATATCTTCTGGTTTGGAGAGAGGTACATTGTGCATTTTACGGAAGGTGCGGGGTTATCATTTTGCTTTGTGGGGTTATTAATAGTAGAGTGGTGACTTGAGAGGTTTCATTAGGAATTCAAACAAATGGTATATTGTGGGGTTAAAGGTCTATATTTGTGGGGTTAAAGATCTATGTTTGTGGGGTTAAAGATCTATGTTTGTGGGGTTAAAAATTAATTATTTAATATCAAGTCAACTTCACAGGCAACTAATTATAAGTACTTAAAATTGTTACTGTTTATCAGAAGAACTTAGAACGGATATAGCAATAACATTTTTCAACAACTGCATAGCAGTAACAATGCAAAAAAATGTTTTTATTTGAGGATAACTGTTGCATCAAAGTAAATTAACCCATCATGTTTTCACATGAAGATGATAGACAAGAATATCCCAGAAGTGTTAAACAAACAACCCCACTATGCTATATAGATATAACAGACAACACTAACCCCATAAATTATAAGACAAACAACCCCAGTATGTACTCTTAAAAAGATAATAGACAACACTAACCCCATTAAGCGTTTGGACAGCAACCCCACTATGTACTCTCATAAAGATAATAGACAACACTAACCCCATAAAGTGTTTGGACAGCAACCCCACTATGTACTCTCATAAAGATAATAAACAACACTAACCCCATAAAGTGTTTGGACAGCAACCCCACTATGTACTCTCATAAAGATAATAGACAACACTAACCCCATAAAGTGTTTGGACAGCAACCCCACTATGTACTGTTATAAAGATAATAGACAACACTAACCCCATAAAGTGTTTGGTCAGCAACCCCACTATGTACTGTTATAAAGATAATAGACAACACTAACCCCATAAAGTGTTTGGACAGCAACCCCACTATGTACTCTCATAAAGATAATAGACAACACTAACCCCATAAAGTGTTTGGACAGCAACCCCACTATGTACTCTCATAAAGATAACAGACAACACTAACCCCATAAAGTGTTTGGACAGCAACCCCACTATGTACTCTCATAAAGATAATAGACAACACTAACCCCATAAAGTGTTTGGACAGCAACCCCACTATGTACTCTCATAAAGATAATAGACAACACTAACCCCATTAAGCGTTTGGACAGCAACCCCACTATGTACTCTCATAAAGATAATAGACAACACTAACCCCATAAAGTGTTAGGACAACAACCCCACTAAGTACTCTTATAAAGATAATAGACAACACTAACCCCATAAAGTGTTTGGACAGCAACCCCACAATGTACTCTCATAAAGATAACAGACAACATTAACCCCATAAAGTGTTTGGATAGCAACCCCACTATGTACTCTCATAAAGATAGTAGGCAACACTAACCCCATAAAGTGTTAGGACAACAACCCCACTATGTACTCTCATAAAGATAATAGACAACACTAACCCCATAACGTGTAACAACCCCATTATGTTCTTATATAGATAAAAGATAACATTAACCCCACAAAGTGTTAGACAAGAACCACAATATGTTCTGATAGAAAATATCAGACATCTTAGTAACCTCAGAGTGTTAAACAAACAACCCCGCTGTGTTCTCATGTAACAGATACCAGTAACCATATGAATTTAAGTGTTTGAAAACCCCAAGTATGTTCTAATATCAAAAAACTCTACCAGGGACTGGTAATAAAAGAACAAGTACCCCCACTATGTTCAATCGCAACTTCTCGAGCCTTTCTGACTAGCTGACAAACGACCTCGAATGTATTAGTTAGACGCCATGGCAACAACCCCCCCCCCCCCCCCTTTCATGATCTTCGAAATAAATGCATGAAGACCTTTTATCTGTGGAATATGGAGTTTAACTTTATTCAATGCTATGATATTACATAAAATATACTATAAAAGGGACTTCTTAATTCCTCTATCCTATATTTGAAAAAAAAAACAAGAAAAGCAAAACCTTTAACATCAGGTGATGTTAATACATTCGAGGTTGTTTTTCCAAACTCTGACGGAAAGACCCTGAGTGAGATGATGCGATTGCCAGTACGTCATATCCTTTTTTTTTACTATTAAAAATACCAAACAATACTCATAATACTTTTTCCTATTTTGATAACATACTCGAAAATTTGTTTTAAATATTTTTCAAACTATTTTAAATTGGATAATCTCTTTATCTTTACTGCTTATTTCTAATGATAATTTTTCCTTTGAATCTGCTGGTGCATGAATTTGAAGTGTACATTATGCATCAAAAGCATACATAATTTCATTGTAAATTAATAATAATAAATAAAAGAGATGATCCTGATTTTTAAAAAAAAATTTAATCAAACTTTTCAGTTACTCGACAAGTTGAACACAGATAAGAAACATGTCAATAAATGTAGAACACAGAAAAAAAACCCTCAAAATTTGAGACAATCTTCATAGATGTAAAAAAAAAAAACCAAGTATATAGTGAGTTGTCAAATAACTCTAAAACTTGCATGTTATTGCTACTTATTTTAAACAAAATATATTAATTAAAATGAAGTTTTAAGAAAAAAAGTGTAGTCTAATATCTCATCATTTTGCATTTTAAAATTGATCTTAAAACAAAAATAACGATGTACATCCTTTTGGAAAATATACTCAAACTTAGAGCTGCACCCCCACTCCCATCCCCTAAAATAAAATGAAAAAAAAAAACCAACATGCAATTGATTTATAATTTTCAAAAAATTAAAATCAAACAACATAAATGTACATTTCAGTTTAATAATTATTTCTCACATTTAAAATGAGATCGCTAATTAAAAAAGACGAAAACTATGACTGTCAATGTATAGAAATTCGCCATGCCGAATGCAATGTTCATAAAAGATCCTTTTGTCTTAAAGCTGAACACTAATAAACATAAGTAATCAGAGATTACATAGCTCAATTCAAAAAATGATTACTTCAAGTTAAAGGTACTTCACATTTAACTAAATAATATTACGACTTATATATTTTAATAGCATTTTACACAAAAAGATATTGAAATTTCAAATTGGCGGGTTTGATTGACACTCTCACAAAACATAAGTTTTTAATCAGAGCAAAACAAACACACAATATATGTCACATACTTGAAACTCAATTCAAAAAAATCCACGATGATTTGTAAACTTCAAGTTAACACTCTCATTTTTCAGTTTTAAACTACATAATCAAGAAGTTAATGTTAAGGTTTGCAGTTTTAATAACTTTTCAATGAAATAAGATTTTTAATTACTTTTTGTGTGAAATGCTCTTAAAATATATAATTCGTGATATTATAAAGAAAAAATGAGAAAATATTAACTTCAAATCTGTGTCCAAGTACCTTTAACACGGTCTCACATTTAACTAATAATCAAGAAGTTAATTTAAGGTTTGCAGTAACTTGAGAATAGACATCCAAATACTTGAAACTAGTTGCCCATCAAGAAAATGTAATTCAAATCCACGACCCATGTAAATGTTTTCTTTTTAGATTAACTTTCAAAAATCGATTCATCTTCTTTTTTCTGAAAAGTAAGTCAGGTCCTGAATGTCGCCGTTTGGAGAAGGCAATGGCAAAAATGAATCGGGATTGTGCTTGTTCTTCTGAAAAGTCTTTAACTCATACTTCATGTATACCTGTCAAAAAAAAACAACAGTAAAATATATTTCTAAATGATAATGTTGAATTTTTTTACAGGTTATGTTTTAATTTATTGTAAAATAATATTGTTGTCTTGATTTTATGGGCACTTATAACATGTACTAACCACCGATCTGGATGTCTTTAATAGTTGCTTTCCTTAAATTTGTGAACTATATTCAGATCACAAATTGTGTGTTCAAGTCATAGGTTTGTTCTTTCAACTTTATGAATGTCCGACGCCTGCTGGTGTTGCTGCAACAATAGAGTGGCCTAGATCATCAAAGTTCCACTGATGTTCACTTTCAGTGGTATCTGAACTCTACAAAGGAATACAGAAGCAAATGTTTATTTATAACACACACAAAAATTCCGAGTTACTAATTAAAATTCATCGAAATTTATTTATAGCATAGTTGTCATGTACTGTGAACTACTTTCTTATATTGGTAAAAGGTGAAAAAGTACAGTCAAACTTGTTTTAAGCTTTGGGAAGTCCAGAAACTAGACAGGTGGCCTCTTATTCCAGTTTGCCAAAGAAGTAGCCAGTCGGTCAATAAATAAACAGCAATAACCACTACAGTTGATTTAATTAAACATGTCAATTTCACAAAACCTTTGTATGTGTGTATATATATATTAATCCATGCTTATTTAAAAAATATCAAATTAAAGAATTCCAAATTTTTAAGGTTTTGTGCATGTTCAGTGGCGTAGCTACCATGTATGCTTGTATGCTCGAGCATGCACATCATTTTGAAAAAAAAGATAATGAGACTCTATGACTTGACTCCTTCTCAGTCATGTACAAATTAAATTATAACTGTAGTATCAAAAGTTATGTTTCTTCTAATTTTCTTTACATGTACACTTGCGTAGTTTTACTACTTAAAAAAAAAATAAAGTCACTGACACTGTAAGTTCGAAAACCATTATGGCAGCTACCGTAAAAAATTGAGCATTTCATTTTCTCAAATGAAATTAAGTTTTAGGGTTGAATTTACAAAAATATTTATTTTATAAGATGAATTAATAAGTAGATTGTTCTGAGCCACTTTAATTTTATTTATTACCTTATGTAATATTCTTTTTTTTCGTAATTTTTGCGGATAAAAAACATCGCCGAAAATTTTTATACTAGCCAATCTACGATAGCATGTCCTGTATTACTTAAAAATTAAGTCTTTTTTTTTTTAAATCGTCTCTCTACAATTATAATTGCTCCTTGGGTTTATTTATAATGGTAAAACGTTGTCAAGATATGTATTTTCTTCACTTTCTTTTATGATTTTATGAGTGTTTAAATCGTCAGAATCCAGGAGCTTCCGGGGGCTTCGCCCCCTGGGCCCCCACCAGGGCTTTGCCCTGGACCCACTCGGGGCCTCAGGGCGGCCCCCAGACCCTTGCAAATTGGAGCATGCACTTCATTTTCAGCCTAGCTACGCCACTGATGTTTCTGTTCCTACAAAACAGTTAAACTTCATACATTCATAAGTGTTCAGAGTTCCCGAAACGCACCGGTCCACTAGGGATCCCCGTAAACTTTGAATGGGACCGGTAAAATCTTAATTTTATCGGTCAAAATGTCTGATGGTTTTTTTTTTTTTTTTACAGACTGTATAACGTTTACATATAATCTTAACAAAATCATTTAATTCAATTGTCCTGACAATAAACAAATGCAAAACTAAAGGAATGAAAAAAACGTCAGGGGCGCGCCAGATCTTGTTTAAATAAAATGTGTAAAATTGTCTACTATAAAAAGCTACATATTAAAATAATAATTTCCATAAGTCTGGGAGGAAAAACAGTTTTAAAAACACTGTCAAACAAATATTTTTCCCTCTGATATTAATATATGCACTCCGTAGTTCTGACAGTAAAAAAATGTGACAATCTACTTTCGTTTTGAAGGACGAATTTGCAGGGTTGCAAGAGTTGCCTGCTATTTCTGCTTGATTACAGACAATTTGTTACCATTTATTATTTTCTCTATAATTTAATCTATTAGCATGATAATATTATACCAACTTCTGGATTTTTTAAATGTATTTGATAGCATTTAAAATACATGCGCGTTTTTCCCCTTTTCTAAAAATAGCGGACTGACTTGAATGTAGTAAAACGACAACAAATTCACTTAAATCATCATTTTCATGATAAATTTGCATATCTTTATATCATTAGTACATATTTTTAACTGTGTGGAGGTTATATAATAAATTTTAACTAGTCAGAAATATCGGACGTTTTCCAGGCTTTTTAAAACGAGTTTGATATTTTACGTAATATTTTTCCTGGCACATAAAATACCAAAATCCTAAATCCAAAAGAAAAAAGCCTGGAAAACAACATATATTTCCCACTAATTCCAAACAATCAACCAAGAGTTGTCATGTTGCAGATTTTATTTTAAAAAAATTTTTTAAAAATCTGTCAGAAAGGACATAATAATTTTATACGATGAATTAAGCGTTGGTCATCACACGCCGTCGGCGACGTCAAATCCTGCATACACAGGCCTTATAGAAAATATTTTAATCATTTTTTTTTTTTAAATCTGCATTTGCCATCTTTTTATTTACACATATTATTTATTATATCGACACAATTTCCAATCCTATAATATGTTAAATTTACATACAAAAAATTAATGTCAGGTAAATTTTACAACTGTCCGGTGAATTTTGAATATTTACAAGACAATTGTCCGACATATTTTTGACTAGTTTCGGGAACTCAGAGTGTTCTTTTGTTACATTCAAATATATGATAATTGAATTACAGTATCATTCAAGAAGAAATACATGTGCCTTACTACTATCTATTTTTTTAATAAGAAAAAATACACAAGCTTTAATTAAAAGACAGTTTAATGGTGAATTAAAAGTATGAAAATTTATTTTAGTAAGTGTCAATAAAATCCATTTAAAAACTTCACTATCATATGTTCAGGTAATGATCAGCAGTGTAACCCCCCCCCCCCCCCCTTCAATTAATCCTCGATCAACTAGTTTGCTGAAGCTTTTAGAGTCTGGTAAATTTTTAATATTATTTTTATAAAGCTGTCAGAATTTCTATCTAACATGCAGACACACACAAAAAATTATTCAATTGACCAAAGATTTGTATTTACGCAGTTTAAAATCATTCTACACAACACAGGTGTCAAGTGCAGTAGAGCGTAACTAATCCCTATCGATCGTCTCCTGATAGTGAAATTCACGAGATAATCATGCTATACAAAACATTTGTTTTGACAAAAATTGCAATTAGAGCTTCTACACGGAATCAAAATCTAACAGGTGTGAAAATACTGATAGCCCTGTATTAGCTAAGTCACATACTCTCACTGTAAATATTCAAAGTAATGATGAATTAATATTGTAAATTACAAAATGTAGCTTTAAGCTTGAATTTCTTTAAGTTTAGCTATGGAAAAACTATTAATTGTGATTTAATTCTTTTAAATTTTCAATCGTCGATCTTGAAAAATAAGTACAAATTGATCTTACATGACAATTATATTTTTTCCATTAACACAAACAGAGTTATATAATTTTATATACGTATCTAAAGGTAATTTGTTTAATTTCTTTAATAGGTGAATTTTATTATCGGGCACATAATTACACAAGCGAATGTGAAAAAAATGTGACATAATGGGTATTTTAACAACTGATTAAAATGTCCTGCACTCATTTATAAACATTGATTGTCATTTATCAAATTGATATACCACTAAATTTTACAACCTAATTATACAACCCCATGTTGATTCCTACAAAGCCTACTTGCTGTGAAAATTTATTGCAGTGACATTGTTAATTCCATTTTTCCATTCTGATTTTCTCTCTATAGATTAAGGTACGATTACAAGTACATGTAAACAAATGTGTGAAGAGTAGATAAACAATTGGTACGTATCTAGAATGAATTCAGAGAGAGAGAGAGAGAGAGAGAGAGAGAGAGAGAGAGAGAGAGCAATTATACTACGAAACAGGATAAAATTAAAGCCAAAAATATTCAATTTGAAAAAATTTAAACACGGAAGATTTAAAAATTAATCGGGAGGGGCGGAACAGGCGTGAAAAATCCAGAGATTTTGTCTCCCGTCGGAAGAATCACATGTATTTATGTTATGAGATATCTGCATGTATTTACCATAGATATAGAGAAAATTCGAATTAAGAAAAAACACGATCGTTTTTTGAAGTAAATAAGCCAAGTAGTACTCAAATACGGATTAAATTATGGAGATTTATTGACAGTTGGAGCATGTTATATGGAAAATTTAAATGGTTTGGATTTTTATAGCAAAAAACGAGTGAAAATACGTACCAGGTGTGCTTTGCACGTATTGCATGTGTATAAATAATATTATCTTTTTTTACTGGCCAACGGGGCGACCTTCATGCAGAAAACCACTAGCCCGACCCCCGGGTATCGGTCGATTTTCATTGCAGACCTCTGATTAAAAAAAGAACTATCAGTGCATTCATTATAATTTTTTTCACAAAAGCCCGTTTTCAATAGGTATGTGTTTATGTGGACTACAGATGTCCTTTCCTTGACTTTAAATAAATTCTACAACTGCATAATGTACGTATGAAGCATGTCAAACAATTTACAAAGCTTTTTTTCAATGTGGTGCAACAAAATAGTAAGACTTACTGCATTTGCTTTTTGTGTTTCCGAATTTCCTCACTGCTAATACAAAGTGTCCAAACACAGCTACTTCCGTAATCTGCGCATGCGCAGTTAGTTTTAAATATATGCGCATGCTCAGGTATTCGGAACTCCTCGATTCAATTACCGAACTCCTCTAAACAGCAGATTTCTGAATGTCTGAGCGTTTTGGGCTAAGGACATGTCCAAAATTTGGACAAAGTCTTTGTGAGGTTAAATCTAATTTTAGGTTTTTCGACCTCATAGAGTAATTTTGAACGTAATTAGACCTCTTCATTATGGGGTTAACCCCACAGTACCCAAAAAACCCCACACTGCTGGAAAATACGTTAATTTTACCCCACAATGTACCTCTCGTAAGAACTTTTTATGGTTGCCCAATCAAGTTCAAATTTGGTATGGTAGTTCAGTAGGCAGAAATACATATTTTGATGCTAAGTTTGGTTCTCTATGTCTTCTGGTTTGGAGCTCGGGTGGTGGGGTAGATTCCTTAACTATGCATAAGAATGAATGGACAACTTTTTTATGGTTGCACAATCAAGTACAAATTTGGTATGGTAGTTCAGTAGGCAGACATACATATTTTGATGCTAAGTTTGGTTCTCTATGTCCCCTGGTTTGGAGCTGGGGTGGTGGGGTAGATTCCTTAACTTTATATACGAAAGCATTGGCAAAGAGAGATATTACTGCTGAAGATGTTCCCATTGCAAACTGAATGCTGTTATGAGTCCCTTGGGATTAATTAGCTTTCCTCCTGAAGAAAATCCAGAGCATTATCTTTATCTGTCAAATTGAGATGAATTACCACCTCTGTCTGCAAATGGAGTTTGTTTTGAAGTTAAGTCAATTTGGAATGCTATGAACACTCTGAAATGTGGATTTAAATATAAATTTTTATAATTTATTTTTGTTTAATAGTTATGATTTCATTGGATTCTAATAACAAGAAATAGATTAAAGAAGATTTTTTGATTTATTTTTTTTCACTTTATGTTAATTCAAGAATATTATTAATTTTTAGGATAGTTGTATAAAAACCCCATTCTATCGTTGATACTGAAAAAGTTCTTATTGTAACTTTAGAAGAAAATGATGAGAGAGGTACAATTAATCCCTTGGGATTAATTATCTAGCCTGCTGCAGAAAATTAAGTAGGCTTTTCTTTATCTCCCACTTTAAGATTAATGAAAACCTCTGTCTGCAACTGCTGTTTGTTTGAAGTTAAGGTCAAGCCTTCATGATATTTGCATTCATTGAAGGCTGCCATTTCATATAACACAAGCTTCATAATTGTTTAAATATACATTCAATGTTAAGTTGTTCTTTACTGCCTAATGTAAATACAAGGATATTATTTTCAGGTTTTTGAATATTCATGAATTATCTTGAAATTTTAAGAATACAGTTGCTGTTGCTTATTCTTCGTACATTTTTTAATTATTCCGTAAGCTGCACCCTATTAATTCTACCCCATGGCGGGGCCCTTGCTGACTGGTCAGTTTTCTAGTTTTAGCAATTTTAAATTGCTCACTAAAGAAAGCTATTAAAACTATAAAAACACAATTAATTTTTTAGCGATATTCAATTTTAGCAATATCAGCACTCTTGCTAATAACACCAAATTTAAATCCTGGCTAAAAATTCTGCTTAATATATGGTGTTTGAATTCACTTCAACATATTAGCTTGCACAAATATTGCACTTGTTAAAGGTTTCTAAATTGTTGCAATTGTATTCACAAAATGCAAAAAAATCCTCCCCCTCCCCCAAAAAAATTAAGATACATTAAAATATAAAGTTTTATTTTAAATATCTGCTAGGTTCATGATGTTGATGTTAATAAAAGCCTTGTTGTGTGTAACCTGATTCCTGCCACTACCTACACAGTTACAGTGAGGATTAAACCTTTAGGAGGCTTGTACTACAGTGATCCAGTTGAGAAGGACTTTGATACATGTGAAACAGGTATTGTTAACCAATGGTCTTACACGTGTGATTAAGGTATTGTGTACCATTAATGTTGGCTATTGGAATAAATCAATTTAGAGTAGCACTTTTATCCAAAGTATATTTGACTTTTTCTCTCTCAAAGCAATATACATAAAATAAAATAGATAAATGCTTTTTCTTTCAAAGTATATTTTACTTTTTATTAGGTGAAGGGAATTCAAGTTTGTTCAAATGAAGGGCCAAGCCCTCTTCCAAGGGGAGATAATTATGAATTAAATAAAAATTAATGGCATCTTTTAAAAATCTTCTTCTCCAGAACCATTAATAGGGCTAAGAAAGATGAAACTTATGTTGAAGCATCTTCAGGTAGTGTAGATTTAAGTGTGTTCAAATCATGGCCCCAGTGGATAGGACTGGGCCACAATGGCTGATCAAAGTTTTACAAAGGAATATATAGGAAATATCTTCTTCTCCAGAACCACTGTGCCAGGAAATATGAAACTCATGTGGAAGCATCCTCAGGTAGTGTAGATTCAAGTATATACAAATCATGACCCCCGGGGGTAGGGCGGGGCTACTATTGCCGATCAAAGTTTTACATAGGAATATATATAGAAAAAATCTATTAAAATCTTTTTCTTTAAAACCATTGGGCCAAGAAAGATGAAACTCGTGTGGAAGCATCCTCAGGTAGTGAAGATTCAAGTTTCTTCAAGTCGTGGGGTAGGGCGGGGCTACAATGACTGCTCAAAGTTTTACATATGAATACATAGGAAAAATCTTTTAACAATCTTCTCAAGATCAGCAAAGCTAGGATTGATGAAATTAATATGGAAACATCCTCAGTTAGAGTAAATTCAAGTTTGTTCATATCATGACCCCTGGGGTAAGGTAGGGCCATGATGGGCAGTCAAATCTTTACATAGAAATATATAAGAAAAATCTTTAAAACTCTTCTTCTAAAGTATGGCAAAATTAAACATGAATGCTTTATTGATATAGTGACATTCTCAAGTAATAAAATATTCAAATCCCCCCTCACCCAACAAGTAAACTTTTCAATACTGAGCTGATTTGTGTTTTTTTTAACTAGCCCATTGTGCTCAGGTGAGCAATGTGACCCAGGGGCCTCTTGTTATCATGGTAATATACATGATAAAAAAGATATTGCACATTCTTTCAAGCTATATTATACTTTTTCCTCTCAAAGTAATACACATAAAAATAGATAATGTGTATACCTTTTCACCTTTCTCCTTTTTTCTCTCCTGAATTTCTTCACATGAAACTTTCCTTTGTTGTAGCCCCATCTCTTTCTCCACCCCTGCAGTCCAGCGGTTTTTCCTCGGGGGATTGTACTTCAGGGTATAGATCTATAATTGTTTACTGGGAGGTAGGTTTTTTTTTTAAAAATTAAATATGGTACATCATCATTTTATATAACCATCATTTAAATAGCAGAATCAGATTTTGGACCATATCTATATTAAGACATGATCTTTTGAAAATTATTTGACAGCTTATAGAATGTGGGTGTCAAATCTGGAAAATTAAGATTTACTGTGATATATGTTTTTTAGTTCACTAATGAGATGATAGCTTAAGGTTTTTTTTTAAACACTGAATATTGAAATATTCACAAATTACCATACTGAAGTTAACTAAATTTTCGTGACACCTTATTTTCATGAGATAGTCATTAACTCTAAATTAGTGAGACGAAATTTTCACAGATGGGGATTTTTCCTCTATACATGTATAATCGTACGAATACTTATATACATGAGAATGAAATTTTTGCAAACACAGTCTTGCATAATTATGAGAAAATAAAGTTCTCACAAATAAAAAGTGATAAACCATAATTAATAGTAAATTTTGCATCTCAATTATTGCCTTCATTCCTCAAAAGCACTATCATCATAATTTATACTGTAGAAAATTCCGCGAAAATTTCAAAATGGACCTTTGAAGGAATACAGGGTGGTGTACGGTGATGACGATTGGAAGGGAGTAGCTCCTAATGCGACATCAGCTACTTTTAACATCCCTTGTGGAGGCCGTAACATAACCGTTCGAGGATGTAACCTTATTGGATGTTCACCTAACTCCTCTATATACATACACGCCTACACAGGTAAAGAAAAATATTGATAGCTCTGCAAGAAGTTTATAATTCAAATACATGAAGTTGAGTCAAAACAAAAGAAATGTTCAACTAAATATGTTTGTAGAAATTCATGGAAATTAATCTTAGCTCTTGTCATCATGTCATAAGCTTATTTTTGAAGTTACATATTCAGTGAAGGTCCTTAGTAATTATAGGGAATGATATCTAATTTTAAAGATTAATTAAGTACTTGCATGTGAATTTCTTAAAAGTAATAGAGCACAGGCAGTCAGGCACAGGGGTTGAGCCTTGAGGCCCATTACCTTTAAGGAATGAAAAGGTGTTTGGATATTGACAAGTTTTAAAATTTGTAATATCGTTTGTCCAAATATGATGAAACAAGATGTGTTTGTGAAACACACTGATGCCTTTATATGACTTTATATGACCATGCTTATGGTAAGGGTGAAAATTTCTTACATGCAAGTAAAACTCAAAGGTAAAAAAATCAACATAGTTGGTACTCAAAGAAAAGTCACAAAAAATACACCTGTGAAATATGAAAGCCCTAACACCAACTGTTCAATAGTTATGGCCAAAGTTAAAGTTTACAATAGTAGTTCAATTTCCAAGGCCACCAGGTCACAATAGTTGGTACAAAAGGGTAGTACATGTCATATGCAATACACTGTGAAATATGAAAGCCCTAATATTTGCTCCAACAAATCAAAAGAAATCAGCTACTAAGCTATTTATTCATATTGATTTAAGGTATTTGAAAAACTTTATATCACTCTCACTTTGCTGAAGTATATATAAAGATACAATTTTTATGTCCCCTACTTTTGTCTAAAAAAAAACTTTATCCTTGCATGCCCATACCTTTTGACTGATTGGAGCCATAACTTTCATATTTCACCTGTGTATTTCTTTAGAAAAAATCTTTTCTTGGGAATCCACTTTTAACATTTTTTATTTTAAACCTTGGATTTTGAGCCACTTTTGCAAATTTTACAAATCTCATCTGGGTATTCATTGTCAAAAGACATTTCCTTGGGTACCAACGATTTTGACCTTGATCTTCTTGAAACAAACTGATTTTGGCAATAGGTTTTTAAGGATTGTTGCTAGGACTTTTATTTTTCATGTGTATTTCTTTCCTTGGGACCAACAGTTTGACCTAGGTGTACTTTTGAAAAAATGTTAAACTTGGCTGTAATTTTTAAATGATTGGTGCAAGGGCTTTCATGTTTCACAAGTGTATATATTGTGGAAAGATCTTGCCTTTGGCACCACAAGACCTTAAAGCCAACAATTTCAGTACTTTGACCTTGACTTTGAAGTTTGACCTATCTTAATAACTTTAACATTGACCATAACTTTTGAATGGTTGTTGATTGGGTTTCATATTTCACTTCTTGTGACAAGCTTAAGGTCTTCTGTTTGGCACCATTAATTTTGATTTTGACATTTAAGGTTCACTTTACTTTTGAAAAAAATCAACTTTCACCATTACTTTTGAAAAGTTCTTGCTAGGGCTTTCATACCGGTAATTCACATTTTATTCCTTGAGACAAGACTTTTCCTTTGTTAACAATATTCTTGATCCCTTGACTGTGGCATTTGACTTGTATTTGTCATAAGCTGCCACTCAGGGGCATCAGTGTTTCAAAAACACATAAAACCTGAATAAATGTTGCATCTAAGGATACAGTCATCACCCGAATATTTGTTTGGATCCTAATTTAAAAGATTACATTCATTGAATTGAGCTTTGTAATTTTTGATTATATACCTATGTTTTAACTAGATGTGGTGTCCCCCAAGAGAGTTATAGTAGAACAGAAGGGACAATCAGAGGTGCAGCTGTCCTGGTTTGGGTTGGAGAGGGAGGCCATTGTTGCTACTGATGTGGTGTGGTGCAAAGTCAAACCAGCAGTGCTGCAGTGTCAGGTAATGAAGAAGACAAAATAATTATATAAAAAGCTCATTTGTAGAAAATCAAGGGCAGAATTTTAATCTATGGCAGGTATTTTCTGCATCTCAAACTTTTTATTTAGATAAATAGAAAATGTACAAAATTTGCTTATGGACTGCATTGTACAAATGTACATCATAATGGATGAAAATTACCGTTAGAACCAATTTTATTTAACCATGCCAGATATGTCAGAAAATGTTTAATTTTCTTTGACTTTCTTTGTTTATATACTGTAGAAGTACTTTTTTCTGCATGGTATTAATTGATGCTATGTAAACGGTTATAAATTTTCCGCAGAAATTTGTTCACACATTTAATATAAATGTTAGCATACAGTGACAGTCAAGAAATGATGTCATTTTCTACCTGCACATTAAACAGAAATTGAGATTTGGCGGAAATATGACCCCATTGAAAATAGTACATCTACAGAATTCATAATTGAACTTGAAATTTAATAATTCTTTATTCAGGATGAAATACATATACTTAGAAGACTGGGGAATATGAATCACACAGTTCTGAAGGCAGACATGATTAGTCAAGCTCTGGATGATGTCATATTTGGTGTGGCAGCCATCAATGATAAGAATTTCAGTAGTGGAATCAAATGGCAGGAGGAATGCAGATATGTGAAGGATGCAGGTAAGAAATGTGAAAGATGTGGTTAGAGGACTAGAAATGTGCTGAAGGCAGGTATAATGCTAGAAATGTTTATTGTACATTTTTGTTGTAATTTTAGAGCCCTCACCTGTGGATGGTGTGTCCCTCTCCCCAGACCCTCCTAAAAACAGCCTGGTGGTGACCTGGAGTCCCCTCAGATGTGAGTCAGTGGCCTCAGATAACGCCTTCATCAAGACATACCGGATCATCTACTGCAAGATGAATACACAAGAATCTTGCGAAGGTTTGAGCATAACTCATGGGGTTGTTTTAACTTAAATGTATCATTACATGTACATACAAGGAATATGCTCCTCAAATTTTATGTTACATACCAAATACAGTAGTATTGATATTAATAATGATTAATTGGTTTCATGATCTAAAACTAAATATTCAGTTGTAAAACTTGAGAAGAAGTTAATTTCTTTCATCTTTAAGGAAAAAGCTGATGGAGCTTTTTGATTTTAACCAATATTGATGATTTATAGGCAGGGAATATTCTGTGAGTGTTCCAGCAGACAGTACCACACAGTACACACTAAGAGACTTGGAGGCAGACACAGAATATGGTGTGTGGGTACAAGCCATGTCACTCACGAAGGAGGGGCGTAGAAGTAAAATGGTGACTGGACGACCTACCAATAACGGTAACATTATTTTTTCTTCTGCTTAAACTGTACTTTCATCAAAAATTATATAGAGGGATGTTAAACAACAAACAAAAAATCTAGAAGATTTATCTTTCTTTGCTACATATGTTGAGAAAAGTAATGGCCCGGAGGTTAATATGAATAAGAGCTTTCATGAACTGTATTTTCATGTGATACAGGAATTTATAAGGGATATAATACAAAGTTAAAATGAAAGAGCAATTTTACCAGATTTATTTAAAAAACCATAACTAATGGTCATTTTTAGAAAGAAATTAAGGTTCGGTCCATACTTATTGTGCGTGCACCTGTTTTCTTTTGTTCAAAAAACTCTGGCTTATCTCTAATTTCTTTAGAACATAACCTACTTATTCAGCCAATCAAATGCTTCCATTTCTCTCGAAGAATTGATTCTTCATGGTGAAGAATTTTTCTATATCTGAAAAATTCAACGGTGTCTGATTGGTTCGCTTGACAGTTATATGGGTGTGTCTTCGTTGGTCTTTGTTCAGCACACAAAAAGAAACTATTCAAAACCCACGTGCTGTTTACAATCATGATATTTAAACTTTCTAGGCCTTGCTAAATTTTTTTCCCTCTGTAATCTTTTGTCGTCTTCTTGAATATTATTTTTTTCACATTTCGGTACATACAGAAAATACAACCATTGTCATGTATATTAGAGACGAACCTTGTCTTTCAAGACAGATTTAATCACAATTTTCATCAAATTTTTATTTGATATTAGACAGCCATACCCACTCCTGCTGACTAGGGCCTTGTCATTTTAACACGATCATTTTTCAAAAATGTAGATATTACGATTTTATTACATGGGTATTCATAGGAATCGGAAATATTTAGCCCCCCACTTCTTTTGCAAATATATACATAATATAGGCATTGAAAATTAGGGTTTACCTTTTTTTGTTGGTTTAGCCCCCCCCCCCCCCACACACACTTTCAATTTGCTTCCGACGCCTATGGTATTCATTAGTTCAGTAACTTTAATATCTTCACCATACCATTTCCCAAGTAAATCAAGGTATTTCATATAATCCCGTGCTAACCTGAATGGGTTGGGAGTCCATTCTGAAACCACGTGTGTTCGATGTTGATTGCGTGCTCGATATATACATTATTTTAATCCTTGCATTTGATTGGCTGAGGTTCTGTTCTAAGTCAGTAAGATCATACGAAGAGAAATCTTCATCACGAAGATTTCTCTTCATATGATCTTACTATTACATAACCTTAAACATTTATATTATATTATAAGACTAATTCATTGATATTGTCTTTGTAGATTTACCAGGGGGATCAATAGCAGGCATTGCTATCGGAGGAATATTTGTTCTTATACTTGTCATTGCAGGATTCGTGTTTGTTTGCAGGTTTGTGTTTTTGCGCTCAAAGGTTTAAACCCAAAATATCATATTAATAATAAATAAATAGAATACATTTTTATTTCATGGATTACCTGAAAATGCATGAGAATTTTTTTTTATTCAATGAGTACCTTATTCTATTAAGGGCTTTATACAAGTACAGGACTTGCATGTATGTCATTGACTGCATTATTTGGAAATATCATGTGTTTGGGTTTATCCTTTAAAAATATTTCAAAGTTTAGGGCAATTTGCAGTTGAAACATAATCAAGCATGAGTTTGATGAAGGTGAACTTCAGCTTATATATAGATACTCATTTTACCTGAAGGTATTGTTTATCATTTTTTTTTTATCCTTTACAGACTCTTTAGACGTAAATTAGGTCTGGATGAAAAATTTGAAATAGAAAATATACAAGTTAGGCCCTATGAAAATCTGGTATGTATGAATTTTGTCAAAATATTTAATCATAGACAATCTGATGATCAATTTGGTATATAGACTTTGGACTTGCTGTAAATCATTTTTATTCACAAGTATTTTATATTAGCATAATCACAGGAGTCTGTCTGCTTGCGAAAATTTTTATTCTTGCATACATTTGAATAATAACGTATTATATACAACACAAATCACTGCTCTTTAAAAAATTTTTTCTAATAAAAACCTAATAGCTAACTAGCAAAAACCTAAGAGCTAACTAGAGAAAAAGTTCCATAATGAGCTTTATTTAGATTTACCGATATAAGATCAGGAAGTCTGTAAAGAAAAAAATATTATTGTAGTGGGGAGGAGGTATTTGCTATAAGTAAATAGCTCTCACTCTTGTAAATTATCTTTTTTGTTTTTTAGCCCACTGAAAGCAATTTGTATAATAACCTCACCACACCAGCTGACAGATCCAGCTCACCCCTCATCACACCTGTAGGTATATATAAAGTAACAGCTTCTCACTTGTATGTATATTACACATAACAGCATTTATTTATTACTTCACACCATCTGATACACTGCAGCTGAATGAAACTGCCATTTGTATATAATATTTGAGGTATCATTATCCTTTGTTTTCTTATTTATCCTCACTTTCATCAAATTGTCTTTTCGTTACTCCTCAGAATGGAATGTCATCAAATGGAGATATTAGACATAATGGAGTAAATCACAGTTATGAAGATATCTTACCAGTAGGATCCTCGGTGGACCTTGATGAAGAAGATGGGAGTGGTGAACCAAAGGACTCCAAACCCGACCTTAAATCCAGCATGGTAACGTTACCAATCACGGATGTTCCACGGCAGATCAGTAAGGACAGCGGTCACGGAAGCCTGTCCCCCACGTCAACTCACGGCCCACCCTCCTCTGAAGAGTCTGACAAAAAAGAGCGAATTCTGAGAGATATTATATTGGACCTTCCTCCCGATTATGCAAAGGCAACTTCAGTCACCACCCAATGTGTGCATGGTAATAGAATTATGATGATGATATGTGTAATATCAATTTTATTAAACATATTAAAATTTTTATTGAGATCTTTGAAAGATATCAGCAATGCCAAAAAAATTCCATAAAATTGTTCCTTTTCACGAATTCAATGACTGCAGTTTGCTGCAAGTTGAACAAATCAATATCTTTTCCAACACGATTCTCATCTGCTGTACAGTATTTGATTTTTTTTATTGCTAAGAACACATTCATATTGTTAATATTGAATAAATGTACTTTAAAAAAATATCATCACTAAGAACTTATGAAACATACAGCTTTTTTTTCTTGAAACAACCCTGTTCTGTAGTATAAATGATGTTTTCTGGCTGTTCCTCTCTGTATACTGGTGCAGGTTTCATTCTTAACAAGAAGGCAATGCCAGTCTTTATTGGCTTTCATAAGTGCCTCTATGTAGTCAGACCTATATAGCCTTAACCTTTCTGGTACATTTTACTTTGTAATTAAATGATCAATGTTTTTAAAAATTCTACTTTTCATGCTTATATATAAAAAATTAAATAACTTCAAGCTGACACTTTTTTGAAGGGTATAAGAAAGGTTCCTTTGATACTGAGGACAGTTTCCCGCCTGATTCCAGAGGGACATATAAGGATAGTTTATGTTCCTCTTCACAGTCCAGTGGCATTCCACTAGAAGATGGATACAAGAGTCAGGAAGACATCTTACAAGGTAAATACAGTCAAACTTTGTTATTTCAAACTTAAAAGGACCTAGAAAAAACTTCAATATATCAAGGTTGAAACACTTACATGTTAAGGACAAGTGGTTGAGACTTCAAAGTCACTTTTACATATCCATTGTATTCGAGATATTGGTTTCTGAGATCCCAAAGTTCAAGTTCAATTGTAGTTATAATAAGCAATCTTAAGTACAGTTTCATAACTTTATAAAGAAAAATCTTCAAAAACTGTGTAACCTTGTAGCTCGAGGCAGATAAGTCCATGGGATGTAGAAGGAGAGTTAATGGATATGAAGGGTATATGAAGGGTATCTAAATGTCAACCCTTTTGTGTGTTTTTAATAAAGCAAAGATCTGGATCTACTACCTGCACTAAAAAAAATAACAGCACACGTCTCATGTGATGTTTTACGGTTGACACAAAGAAAAACAAATATATTGCTTTAATATACTGTAAACCAATTTTAAATGACATTTAATTGCAAAAAAAATTAATTGAAATGTTTTGTGACAATCTCATAAACTGAAGTTTTCCATTTCATAATATTGTGTGTTTAAAATTAACTGTTTCACAATTATAAATGGTTGGTTTCTAATCTTGCAAATATTTGCATGTTCAAAGTTGGTTTACTGTATGTACCCAAGAACATCCAAAAACTCCAAAAAAAATTTGTAATTGCACTGCACTCCCAAACACTTTTAAATGAATTTATACTTAATATTGAAATTATGACCAAATACTGAATATGAAAATTCTAACTTCAAATTTACTTTACAAGATAATTTAATATTACATGTATTTGCAATTTACATATAAAAGAACATAAGAAACTAAGTTAACGTTTTATCTATTTAGAGTGTTTGAGCATTATTTTCTGCACTACAGAAGAATTTTTAAAATTCAAAAGATTTAAATTTCATTTTGTTTTCTGGTCATTTTAAAAGCTGGAAAGTTTTGCTTTTCCCTGAAAACTATTTTGTCCTCTTGCATGGATCTTTATTCAGTCATGATTGGTAGTAATGTTGGGGAAAATATTATATTCATTAAAAATTGTAGGTACTGTCAAACATTTTTGCAAAAATTTTATTTTTTTAGACAACAATGACAAACAACAAATTAAAGAATCCTCCAAGAAGTGCCCAGAAAACAATGAAGTGGGGAGGAATGGAGAGGAAGAACTTGAAAACAAAGAAGATGAAGTTGAGCAGACATCAGGTTATGTGATGTACTCATCCAATGATACAGAAACCACCACAGGAAGCCAAATCACCAATGTCCAACCCGGGAACTCCCTTCCTACATGTGACAAAACACAGACCACCTCTGGTCACCAACCACACAATGTCCAATCTACTGAGACCACCATGGAAAACCAAATCAATATTGTCCAAGATGAAACCACCACTCCTACATGTAATATTACACAGACCAACCAAGCACACCAACCATACAATGTCCAATTTAAGAATACTGTTCCCAACATTACAAAGACCATCTCTACAAACCAACCCAACAGTGCTAAAAACCAGACTGAGTGTAGCAAGCTACCAAGTTCAGCTGTTGATCAGCTGAAAAATGACGGACCAAATGATGTAATGGAAATTAAACAAGAGACAGATATGTGCCAAACTGACAAAAAACCAAGTTCACCAGGATACCATCCCAACAGAACACTGGATACAGAGCGCCGAACCACTGAGATGGGTTCTGGTCCACAGCTTCTAACAGCTGAATCAGAACAGTTTACAAACTACCTCCCACATAATACAAATTTTGGAGAACTTGCTGCCACTCATAATGATAAAGAGAATTCCTTGATCTCCAGTTGTGCAGCTGGTAATGCAAATGATCTTGCTGTGATGAATTTTGATTATGTCCCAAATGGGACATCAGATCCATTGCCTAATGGCAAAACAAGTCATTTATCTGATGGTACATCCGATATTGTGCCAAAAGATACCAAAGATTTCTCTGGGATGAATTATGTACCTACCTATGTTCCAGATGACACAGCTGATAATATTCCCAGTGTTACAAAACATGTGCCATGTAGTCCAGCAGGACATGTGTCAAATGGTGCTACAGAAAATGTGCCAAATGGCACAACTGACTATGTGCTAAGTGATGCAACAGGATATGTGCCAAATGGTGCTACGGACTATGTACCAAATGGTACAATAGACTATGTGTCAAATGGTGCAACAAATTATTTGCCAAATGGTGCAACTGACTATGTGTCAAACGGTGCAACAGATTATGTGTCAAATGGTACAAGTGATTAATATCTGCCCAATGGTACAAGTATGTGCCTCTATATCATTGGACAATGAAGAACAACTTCATTCTGATACATTCCAATTCTCAGGCCAGGTCACAATCACAACATAGCTGGTTATTCATCTGTATGTTGAGTTTCCTCCACAGTTGATTATCAAAAATGTGAAAAGGAAGTGGTTCCATTGATTGTCAAAAAAAAAAATAATATTGTGAATGGAAAGTGGTTCCATTGTTACCAGAGGGGGTTTGGAGAAGGGGGGGATTGGTTAAATCCATAGCTAGTTTGATAATGCAATGAACTTAAAATATTGGTCATTAGAAATATAGGAATTTGATGCTAAAGGTGTAAAGAAATCCAATTAATGGTACCCCATTTACTGTAAATAATCTAAAATGTAAATGATGAATGAATCGTATTCAGAAAGCACATTTCACTGACCATGGTTATCGTTTGTGTGTATCTATTTTTAAAACATGTTTATGTATATTCAAAATGTTTCCATAAGTCTATAAAACACATCATTACTTTTTCCAACTGTTTAAACCGCAATTGCACATTTGCATATGTAAAAATGTTCCTGTAATGCAGATATCGTCTACCGTCAACAGCAGAAGTTTTTCAAAAACAGTTGTACAAATCCGCACCATCTTCAAACTTCATAATTTTTTATCAAATGATAGTCCAGTATGTGTAGGTTGTGAAACAGTTTATTTTTTAACAATATCTCTTCTGGTTTTCTTTGTACAGATGTTTAAAATAAGCATTGTTTTCCAAATGAAATGCCAAGACGTCATGACGTTGACGTTAAAGACTTTGACGTCTTGGCATTAAAATTGTTTATAGGAGGTAACAAATTTACATTTATAGAAAGTAATCCACCAAAAGAAGATTTTAAATAATAAAAAAAATTATGAAAGCAATACCACAATTGTATTTTATATACTCAGGTAACTAATGGCAAATTCTTGGACCTTTCCGGCAAGGTTGTTTTTCCGAGCTGCCGGAAAGGCCACAGAAGTTGTGGTTGTAATGAAGATCTGTAGATATAGGAGTGAAGTCTTTATCTTTACACGTTTATTTTTATTTTAAATGATTACAAGAGGCAACTAGTGGTATTGTGAGTAATGAGCTCACTGAATGATACCCCCACCTCCCATATAATTATAATGGCAAAGTCCATCTTTTGCTGTGGCCGGGAAACCCAAAATATGCATCGGATCAAAAAGTAAAATAGGAGGTGCACAATATGGCAATATATATTATAAAATAAAGTTTCTGTGAAAGTTTCATTAAATTTCACTCAGTAGAAGAGGAGTTGCGGATAAGAGATGGGTACCCCAAAGCGTAACAGACAGACGGACGGATGGACATACCGATTACTATATACCCTCCCGCTTTTCAAGCGGGGGTATGAATAAAAGGGGAATAATATTCAATATAAATGGCATGAAATAATCCTACTCGGACGTCTTGGGATCCTGGTAGACAAAACATAGGTGAAAACATACAACAAAAGTATTGAACGATGCTATTAATATAGGCCGTTGAAAAGATTGCATATTTAGCTGAACAATTTAATTAAGAATTCGACTTACTTGCAATATTCTACATTATACAGAAACATGCATGGTATACTACACCACTTGCATAGTACAAAACGGTTTTCTCCGTATGTTTCATTTTATGCACAATTTATTTCGTTCTGTTCGCTTTATGAACGGTATATTTTTAATAAATGCAGTGGACTGAGCCTGTACACTTTAGTAAATAATTAGCTACTTAATAAACTAATCTATTTCTTAAATAATATATTTATATTTTAATAAAATGTAAGTACAATGTAATTCAAAGCTTGAAAAGGTCCATATTTGAGCAAAATTTGTCCGTTGGCTATTTACCGAAAACCAGGGGGAATTCCGTGTACGTGCATCAGTGAAAATCTTTAAACCACTGCACCCGATGTAAGACTCACATAATTAAGAACAACTCAGGGGATTACTTATTCATTATTACAATCGGCTAAAAAAAATTTACCATATTTTTTTAATTAGTTTTATTTGAGAGCACATTAACAGACTTTGAACTCAAACAGGGGTATATGAAATGATATAAGATATAATTGATTGTGAGGGAAAAATTAAATTTGTTGAATGGCTTATTACAGAATTTGACTTTTAACACGCGTTCTCTGTAAGCACCAACGAATTTACTATAGGGCTTGGAAACGACATGTCTCAGATTTTGATGAAATTTTTACCATAGGTGTGTCTTGGTACAAAACTAGTAAATATGTTGTCGGAAGTTCCACACGTACACTTGGTTGCCATGGAGACGGATCCATTGAATTCGGCCATTTTTCGCCCATTTTGACTAAATGAAAACATGAAAATTGAGGAAATGTAAATGAATATTTATCGGTATCTAATACACCCTAACAAAAATCATTGAATCGTATAATAACATGAACTTTTAAGGTACACAGAGCATATAATCGTTTATTCTAGAAATATTCCTTCTGTAAGAAAAAGGTCTTGCAAAATGAAATGGTTTCTAAAAATTTGAAAAATGGGGAAATCGGAATTTTTTGAGATCTTTGAGGCTAAATAAAAAAAATTGTCCGCGGAAATTCCCATATCTTTTGTGTGTTACTATACTTGGGAAAAAGTAGTGTCATTTCATGAAAAAACATAAGTGGGCTTTTGCTCCTATTTTTAGAAACATGTATCTATAAATAGATATATTTTAGAAACATGTGAAAAATCAAATTTTGGCAAAGTTTTAATTGTCATTACTGCAAAATTAGAACGTATTTTGTAAAAATTGAGATTTTAATGACAAGAGCTGGACACCACTAGCTGGTATGGACAACGGTTGAGGGGAATTCCCTTTTCTGTTTTTAGTATCAGGTGGCTAAATATAGAGATATCTCTGAATATTAGGAAAAATGGCATTTTTGTTCTAATTGGAAGCTTCATATAAGAAGTCCAAACAAATATTAAGCTTTCTACAGTATGCTTTCAGAATGTAAATGTGTTTGTACAAAAATTGCTACAATATTGAGGATGGACTCTTGTTTCATTTTATGGCAACGATGGTCTAAAAATAGATTACTTGAATAATTGAGAAAATGTAGATTATTGCACCTTTTCAGGCACTTTTAGATGTAGTTGCTGCATAATTAGGAAATATTTTGTAAAATTTTAGATGTTAATGACAAGATCTGGATACCACTAGGTGGTATGGATAATTGTTGAAGGGAATTCCCATTTCTATTTTTAGTACCAGGTGGCTAAATATAGAGATGTCTCTGAATATTAGGAAAAATGGCACTTTTGTTCTAATTGGAAGCTTCATATAAAATGTCCTAACAAATATAAAGCTTTCTACAATATGCTTTCAGAATGTACATGTGTTTGTACAATAATTTGTGAGGATGAACTCTTGTTTCATTTCATATCAACAATGGTCTAAAAATAGATTATTCGAATAATGGAGAAAATGTAGATTATTCACCTTTTTAATATAAGCACTTTATAGATGTCATTGCTGATAACTTAGGAAGTATATTGTAAAATTTTGGATGTTAATGACAATAGCTTGACACCTTTAGCAGGTGTGGACAATGGTTGAGGGGGTTTGCCATTTCTATTTTTAGTATCACGTGGCGTAATATAGATATGAAGTACTCTAAATATTACGGAAAATTGCAGTTTTATGCTAATTTGAATCTTCGTACAAAATGTCTTTATAAATATAATGCTTTCTACAATATGCCTACAGAATGAAAACTTGTTTGTACAATAAAAGCTACAATATTGAGGATGAACTCTTGTTTCTTTTTAAGGCAACAATGGTCTAAAATAGATTCCTGGTTTAATCGAGAAAATGTAGATTATTGCACTTTTTAGATGTCATAGCTGCATAATAAGGAAGTATATTGTAAAATGAGAGAAGTTAATGACAGTAGCTGGCCACAACTAGCTAGTGTGGACAAAAGTTGGGGGGGGGGTCCTTTTACTATTTTTAGGTCACCTGAGTAAACTCAGGTGACCTACTGCTATCCGTTTTTGTCCGTCGTCGTGCGTCGTGTGTTAACATTTGAACATTTTAAGCTTCTTCTCTGCAACCACTCAACCAATTTCCACCAAATCTTACACAAAGCATCTATGGGTGAAGAGAAACAAAAATTGTGAATTTCATGGTCCCCGCCCCACTGGGGCCTGAGGGGTGGGGCCAAAACCACTAAAATTAGTGCAATCTTTAAAAATCTTCTTTTTTACTCTTGGACATCAAGCAGTCAAACTGTTAGCATGAATGTAATGACCATTAAGTCCTCTACCAAAATTGTAAAATTCATGGCCCCAGGTTCAGGTGTTCTGATGTTAGGGTGGGGCTCTATTGATTATATAGTGAAAGTACATTAATTCTTTGAAAATCTTCTTCTCTGCTCCTGAGTATTAATTAAACTAACTAAGTATATAGTTATGATGAGCGAGAATGCCTCTTCCAAAATTATGGATTTTTAAGGCCCCAGGGTCAGGGGTTCTGGTCTTAGGGTGAGGCCCTATTGATTATATAGTGTAAATACGTGATTTCTTTAAAAATCTTCTTCTCTGTTCCTGGGTATTAAATAAACTCTCACTAAGTACATAGTTATAATGAAGAAGAGTGCCTTTGTGAATTTTATGGCCACACGGTCAGGGTTTCTGGTCTTAGGGTGGGACTGTATTGATTATATAGTGAAGATACATTATTTCTTTAAAAATCTTTTTTTCTGTTTCTGGGTATTAAATAAACTCACTAAGTACATAGTCATGATGAGGAAGAATGCCTTTGTGAATTTTATGGCCCCACGGTCAGGGGTTCTGTTTTAAGGTTGGGGCTCTATTGGTTATATAGAGAAAATGCAGAAATTGTTTGAAAATCTTCTATGCTCCTTGGTCTTAAGCAGATTAACTACCTATATAGCTATGATGAGCAAGGGCCATTCTTCCTGAATTGTGAATTTCAATACCCCTGGGTCAGGGGTACCATAGGGGGTTGGGAGCTCTACTTATATACTGAGAATCTGAAAATGAATTAATTGATTGAAATCTTCTCCTTT